TTTTTAATGAGTGTTCTATAAATGGTGTAGCTGTTTGTATTCTGAATCTGCAAATGTTGCAAAAACTTCTAAAAATGGGTCAGTTTCAAAATCCTAAAACTTTCAGTCTATTATTGCATGGTAGTATTTAAAGAACATTCTCAAGAGCTGATGTTTAATAGTAGACATGTATTTTAATGACAGAAATATTAAATAACAATATCAAATAATGTTGACTTTAAAAAAATAAGAACTGACTAATATTAAACCCAAAATAAAACCAATTAAATAAATTAAAATAAATTACTTCAATTGAACAACAAAGAGCAAACACTGACATGCATATGCACAGATACAAATTGTTATGAAGCTTGAAAGATGACTTAAATGTTAGTCACTGTTCAAGACTCAAGAAACCTCAGTTCTGTTCTACCAGCAAAACTACTGCTTCACTTCCAAAAGAGATTTAATTTCAGTTAATTATAGCAAGCTTAGCTTTGCTTGTAATAAAAAGCCATGTTGTGTTTCTCATCACTTCTAAGATGTATGAACTGTACCTACAACATGGACTGAAGATCACTACTGCAAAGCCACTTACATTCTGAAGTTTCCTAATAGATGCTCCTTCTGCAGAGCCCCAAAACTGAAACACTTAAATATTTCACAAGAGTGCCATGTCATTAAGCTGCGTTTGAAGGGCTGCTGTTAGGATACTACTCTGGGCTCAGGGGGAGCAGTCAAGCACTTAATTAGGTTGGCTCAGATCTAATTTGCCATTAGACCAGACCACTGCAAGAGTAACACTTGTGTCCTCTCCTCCTTACCCAGCTTTTCTATCCAGAACGCTCCAACTCCAGTTTAATTAACACGTCCCTTGGGATTTCAGTTTTTGAGATTGGGAAGTTGATAAGAAATTGCAGGTGCAGCTGCAGAGGCAGGAGCATTGTTGTTGCCATCTGCTGGCATCTATAGTTCTGAAGACTCCTGAAGGTAAGTCTACCCTCATTGCATCACCAGGACAATTTCAGTCCTGTTGACAAGTGAGGCTACAAATGCACATTTTGAACAGCACAGAACAGTCTGAATTAGCATGTGATTTGTATCACCTGTTAGTAAAAGGTTAAAACACTGCTAAACATACCATCAGTTAAATAAAAAATATTGATTTAGCAAATTCCAAGTCTTCATCTGTGCTGCTTTGCTTATGTTTTCCTTCCATTCAGTCTCAAGGTAGATCTCAAAATGAATAATCTGATTGAATTGCAAAAATTTCCATAATTAATTAGGAACCGTTCTCCTTTCTTTTCTACTTGGGGGTGGGATAAAATAGTAGAAATAAACTTTTCTAAGTGGGTAACTTCTATATACATATCTACAATTTGTGGCATCACAGTGCCACAGAGTCACAGAGTACTGAGGTGGAAGGGACCTCAAGAGGTCACTCAGTTTGCCACTCTGCCCCTAGGCTTGATCAGTACACTGAAACCATTCTTGACAGATGTTTGCATAACCTGATCTTGTAAAATTTCCAGTGATGGAAAACACATCACTTCCTTAGGCAATCTACAAAAATATTGTTAAAAATTGCAGCTACTGTTCAAGATAGCAAAAGTCCTCACTGACACTGGTCTGCAGGATTAATTCTTTCCAGTTTTAATCCACAATACAGCACTCTTGAATTCATGCAGATAATGGCTATGCACATATATCTCCATGAATAGGGATATAAAATGTACATTGGATTCCAATTATACAAAAAGAGAAATTCTGCGTAACTGATCACAAATTATCTTAAATTAGTAAATTAGAGAATTTCACAACTAATCAAGCTACAAATACATTGAATCCTCCAATTCTCCAATAGTATATTTTAAATAAATTTATCTTACTTCATATTATTTTGAAACAGGACACATGTACATATATAAAGATATATATATATTTATATTTCATGTACATGTATATAAATATACACACACATCCCCTCAGGGTAGACTGTGCATTAATACAGATTTCCAAGGCAAACTATTCCCAGGTGTCTAGGTCTGCTGAAGCCGAAGGTTCTAATGATAAAGAAATTAGCACCTTCACAAATGAGGACTCTATGGTCAGGCCAAGCCAGATGGCTCTTGACACCTGTCTGCATCCTGACTGGCACTGAAGGGTCAATAATACAGTTTATTCACAAGCAGGAGCTGGGAATCCCTGTTGGTTGCAGTAAGGATGGAGAGTTAATTCTCTCCTAACAACATAAAACCCAGCAGGATTTTACTTGCAAAGGCAACAACTCTTTCCAGAATTTAATACACATTTACTAAGGCTTCTTACTTTTTTCCTGCAAGGTTGTATTTTTTCTCCTTTGTGAGAATAATTTTGCTAGACAAATTAAAATTTTCATGGTGGTAGAGGGCAAAAGATCTTGCAGTGAAGGGAAAAGGACAGCTTTAAGGCTTTAGTCCCAATATCTGGAAAAAAATAAGAGTAACAAAAATAGATCAAAAACAATTTTTAAAAGTGGAAAAATGGACAATCTCTTTTTTGATTTTATATCCCCTAGAAGAAAAGTTTTGAACTTACTGAGTTAAATATTGACAACATTGTACCAATAAGTGTGTGAGGACCTTTTCAAACAGCTGGAACATTATAGATTTTTGCAAGTTCACAAGGCCTGTGCTCACATTTCCAGTAAAAGCTGCTCTCTAATACAAAGCTAAATGCCCCAGGGACATTGAAGTGAACATATTTTTCTGCTGGTTTAAGCACACCAGCAGTCATTTGTAGAGTTTACATGGCTTTCTTGTCAATACCTGCTGGTCACAGTTGGTGAAGAAGCAGTTTCACTTATGATCTGCTTGCTAATTAAGCATGGCAGCAGCCATTGAGTGAAATTTTCAACAACCTGACACACGAAAGGAAAGAATCAGGTGTATTCTCAGAAGACTTCAATCTTTAAATCATTTGGATTCTGTGGTTACTGGAACTGAAAGATAACAGAAATTACTTTGTCAGATTAACATGCAACTCTTCTGATAAGCTATAATATACTGTAAGTAGGATGAATGCTTTTACCCTGATGTTCTACAAAAAAATTCTTTAAGAGAAGGAAAATTGAAAGGATTTGAAGTAATCCCAATATAGGCCAAAAATCTGTATAGTCTTCTGCTTCTCCTCATTTTCTTCACTGGTTCATAATCAATCCTTTTCTGTTGACATCTTTCATCATCTAGCTGTCCTTCATGTCCGCTGCCCATTGCTGTGCTTGCAGGAGGATTGCACAGCTGGTGCTCTTCTGCACACAAAACATCCTAGAAAGCATCAGCAAAGCCACTTCATTGCTCTGTGTCAATTCTTTACTTCCCTGACCTTCAAAAGTCAGTTGCTTCTTGCTGAATGATGATCATCTCACATCTCACTGCTGCCTTATATTACTCCTCCTTCTTGGTTTGTATCCATGTGTTGTCCCTTAGCTCATGCTTGTATTGCAAAGTCACAGGCAGAAGTCTTTGACATTTGTACAGCCCCACCCAGTGGTCCCAGGCTTGAATTCCAGGACACATTGCAATACAGTAAATAAAAGAACCCCTTAAATATTAGTTTCCTTGAGATCTCACTCTTACGTTATGCCCCTTGTGTGCAGGGAAGACAAATCTGGAGGGGCTGGTAACCAAATCTTGTAATGAAATAGAACACACCACTAGAAGTGGACCTTTTCTGATAGAAACCTCAGGATGGCAATAGCATAAGTGCAACTAACAGAGGTGACTGAAAGGCCTCTTCCCACAGAGCAAAAACCCACTCCACAAGGAACACTATCATATCCCAGCATATTTTTAAGCATTTACAAGCCATGCTCAAATGCTTCAAATACAATCCAATAAATGTTTAATTATATCTAGTTTGCAATTGCAACTTTTCCGTTCTTGTCCACCTATGCTTTATAATTATCCTGTCTAAAAATAGATATTCTACACAATTGAAAAAAAGGGTGCCTTTTGAAATTTTGTTGTGTTCCAGAGGAGACCTCCTGGTGAGGAACCAAGGCAGGCAGAGAAGCCCCCAGCCTGGAGCAGGCAGTTTTTGGGCAGTGGCTGTGGTGCCCTGTCTCTGTGAGCAGGGATGTCCCTGTGGGTGCTGCAGGGGAGCAGCAGCTCTCCTGCCTGGACACTCTGCAGTGCTCTTCATGTCTCTACTCTGCTCAGCATAACTTCAGCAACAAACTTCTGCAAGGAAAAACATCTGATAGTGTAACTGAAAACCTGCTTTTGAAGAAAATACTTGGAAAACTAGACAGAGTTTATTTTGAAGCATTTTTATCTTATTAGAGACAAACTAAAGATCCTCTGGTGAGATAGTAGGGGGGAAAAAAGGCTTCAGAATAAATGTATGTATAAGATTTAATTTTAAAGACTGATATTCTTTCCCTGACCTTTGGGCATTTTTCTTTTAGTTTCTTAATAACAAATGAGGTTGAGCTATTAAACTCTCTAGAGATAATTCACAAAAGAGCTAAATAAAGAATCAAAACTGAGGCACAGTGAAAAATACATTAGAAAAATAAACTACCAACATTTTTAGGTAAAGTAGTCCCAAGAGTTAGAAAACCTCTAAATTTCAATTTCATGATGTTGTACTGAAAGTCATCCCTGAGTCCTGATAATTTTCATGTTTTTCTTTCGTTTTTTTTCTGTTGTGGCTTCTTTTTCATCACTTCATTGGTATCTATTATTTGACATGCAGTTCTTGACTAAGATTTTGGCTGCACCTATAATGAAATATTTTCTGCTGTGGAATACTTGCAATGTGCTGCCAATAATCACTAATAATCAGAAAATGTCACAGCAGGCAGTGCTGTCAGTGCATGAGTAGCCTCACACATGAAATTCTGCGTTGGAGAACAAAGAATAAAAAGTCTTTGAGCTTTTTTCAGTATGAACTGCTACTTATTAAATATCAGGATTTTACTAAGCATGCTTTTAAGAAACACTTCAATGGAAAAAAGGTCACAAGAAAGCCACCAGTACCTTTTTTTTTCAGTTGGAGACTTTTGCACAAATGTTACTCCTGTGCAAAAATCCAATTCTGTCTATGATGATGCAAGGATGACACAGTATTGTCTGTGAAGCTAGTTCTGCCCTGAGTAAGAACCTTCTGGCATCAAACTAGATTAAAAAGAACAGATGGTTGCAGAAACATAATTAAGAAAAAGAAAAGAAAGAAGAAACAGATATCAAAGCATCAGCATCTCTTTCCCTGAATTTTCCCTGAAAGAAGTAGAAAGGAAGTTTTAAAAAGGTTGGATCATCTAATCCACATAAGATTCTATTCAAAAATTAATATATCAAATGCTTGAATCATAAAGAAGAGCCAGATGCTCCACATGGACTTGAATATTGCTAAATGGTCACTATAGGCATTCTCAAAAAATTAATATAGGTAAACAGAAGAAGTCTATACAGGTAAATTGTCATATTCTTATTCATTAGCATAGAATGAATCAAACACAGGTTGGCTTTAGGTCTCACCTTGCTGTGTATCTGCCCTGAAGACATGGCATTCCTTGTACTTGATTAAATATGGAACTTTTCTGGAGCATTAAGAAAACCTAAACCAACGCCCCAAAAAAAACTCCAAGCAAAACAATCCAATCCAATCCAAAGCCAACTGCTAGGCAAAAGACAAAAAGTAAAAATAATGAGCATAAAAACAAATGTATTTTTAAAAAATACAAAATATCTCCATTTTAGTTATTTGAGAGCTGGTTTTGTATAGCTATCAGACAACAGTGCCTCAGGAGACAGTTTGGGATTACACTTGCCTTCTACATCTTGGCTTGCTGAAAGCTGACATCCTCTGCTAGTGTAAGATACAGTTTATAACCAAAACAGCCCTGAAGAGTCAGAGCTACAGTCACAGCAGCATAGGCAGATACACATGAAGTTGCCAGATCTTCTCACAACAAGCTGCAAAGTTCTCCAGCATCATCTTCAATGAATGCTACACATGAATCTCTCTGCGTGTGCAAGTTCTTTCCTGCAGTTAAATACTGAGTTGTTTCATATGCACATTCTGATAATGAAGGTTATGCTTAGTATTCTGCAGTAAAACATTTTAATTACTTTAAAAGAATATAAATTTCATTCTAGTCTTTGATGCTCTTAGAAACAGTTTTAAAGCAGCAAGAATTTCAGAAAACAATTGTTAGTATTATTTAAATTTAATCAGAAATCAAAGTTATGAGAGTAGGTAAAAGCATCAGAAGTTGCTGGGAAAGCTGAAAAACCTCTACATCTAGCTCATTAAAAGTGCCATACTCTACAACTCCAACCATGTGCAATATGGACACCTCCAGTAAAAATAGCCTTAGTTTATAATCTATTCTGTGGCACATATTCAGGGGTTCAAAACAACAAAGAAGAGGTACAGGTGTGGGTGAAGATGTTAATAATTAAACATATTGACTCTTGTTGCTTTATAATAATGAGTCAATATTTTAAATTATTATTGCTTTATGAATTTGTTATAATTGATAATAACTACCTTTAAAGTCCACTTGTGCCACAGGAGTATCTGTACAGTCACCATAAATGGGAGGAAACTAAGAAAAAGGAAACTTGTGGATTGGGATTGAAGAATGTGCAATTAAAGCACGTGTGACCTTTTTGTTAGGCCTGCTCTGAGCCATTGCAAAATGTTTCAGTCTGTAGTGAAACCAATGCATTCATCAAGTTCTATCAACTAGATATTAATTTGAAAGTTGAAGGTGTATATATAAACACAAATGAAAGATTACTGTGTAGTGTCTAAAGGGTAGCCTTGTTTGTTGAAACAATAAGCACTGCTCTTTAACACCAGTGGTATGAAATCTTTTTAGCAGCAATGTTTTTATTCAAAATTAGCTATGTGCCTGAAGTTATAAATTGCCTTGTTGTAAGTACAATGTTACAAAACGGATCACTTAGTGAAGCAGCTCAGAAAATGGATGTGTTTGTGACACCTTTAATGTAGGTCCTTTTTCTAAAGAATAAAGAATAAACCCCAAAAACTCAGAATACTTAAAAATTTCTATTTATCAGACAAGGAAAAAGAGCCTACATACATTACATTTAGGCTGTCAAAAAGGTTCATTATAGGAAGCTTATATATTTATTTACTTGTAGAACTGGTAGGGATCACTGTCTGTTACAATTACAGCCACGACACTTCATTCCTGACAAGACTTCACCGTGTCTCTGTTAGCCCACAGCACGTCTGTGGAACTCATGGTTATCAATCTGATAAATCTCAATGTGCTGTGTCAGTTTTAAGCACCCCCAACTGCTCAGGAACACAAACATCAGCAGCTACCAGGTGCCCTGCAGTACTTTATATCCATGCCCTACACTGTCCTTCCTGATATTCAGTTTTAGAAATCCATTTTCAGTTTCATTGCTCTGGTACCAATAATCAAATGGCAAAAGGTGTTGCCTGAAGCTGCATCCAGTGTCCCAAAAAGATAATCTGAGGAAAAGATAAGATATTTAAAAACATTTTTTATGATCTATTTGAAACAGAAAGCAATATGACAAAATTTAACACTGTTAATATGAAGGAAGATGTATCTGTAATATGAGTTTATACGTGTATGTTTCTTCAGTTCTCCTGAAAACAAATCTTAAAATATAAAAAACAAATTATGACTGCAGGAGAGACGTTAAACTTTTAAAGATGAAACAGAATTAAAGCATTCTTTAGACCTAGTTGCAGGTATAATAATAACTAAGCCAGGTGATAAGGTACGGGGAAAACTGAACTAATGATTTTATTGTACTCACGGGTTTTTTTTGGTCTTGTTGTTGTTTCTAAAAATATGTTTACAAAACAAAATTGAAAGAAAGATGCCCATAAAGAAAAGTATTTTTTTCCCTAAGGACAGTCAGGCATGGGAACAAGTTGTCCCAGGAGGTGGTACTGTCTCTGTCCTTAGATGTTTTCCAGACCAAATTGGGAAAATCTTGAGTAATCTGGCCTGATTTCAACATTTCTTGAGCAGAAGGCTGGACCAAGATACCTCCTGAGGTATCTTCCAACATGAATTTATTGTATAAACCTATAATCTGTGAAGTATTTACAGAAGTATTCACAAAAGTATTCATAATTCATTTTAAAGGAACAGAATAAGGTCAGAGCTAGCACTACCACTGTTAAACAACAACAACAAAAAAGTCCAAACAGAACATCATCTATCTTCTATAAATACACACATTTGTATGATCACAAATAACGCACTGTATGGGGAATAAGAAAAAAAGATCTTAGAGTAGATGTAGGTAAGAGAAAGAAATGTTAAATGCTAATTCTGTAGCAAGCTTTACACTACACATACAGCATGAGACAAAACAGTGCAGGAAGTAACACTTTTTGGTAGGCTCTATTATTTTACACACTGCACTTGCTGCAGGTTACAGGTTCTCATACTTTTAAGCAAGCATGGATAAAAAAACCTGTATTACCCACAGCATAAAAAATCAACATTCCATCCTAGAATTAATCTCTTTCCAGTTCCAACATGACCAGGTTTGGTTTCAACAGTTATAGCTGTTGTCGCTCAACAGTTGTTTAACAAGTCAGGGGCAAGAAGTGTGCTCAGACCTCTCCTCATGCAATGCCCTGTCTGGCTTCTCAGACATTTCAGTGGAAGCAGGTGCAAGTCCTTCAGAAGTGAGTTAGAGTGCACCGTGCAGATTTGATAACTCCTTCCCCAGCTAGAAGACTCAAGTGCTCTAAAAAAATATAAATAAGAAAACGGAAGTTCTCTAGCAATCCCTTGGGCCAATTACACAGATCAGAGATTAAATGATTCAAAGCATGATGGTCCTGTCTTTTCCAGTCTTTTCTGGATTATTTTAGCATGAAAAGAGTTGGTTCTTGCTAAAGGTGGAATCAGCTCAACTACAGCTGACCTAGACAGCTGTACATAAAATTACACAGTTCTCCAAGTTTTTTCTGAATAAGAAAAGAAACAGATGACGGAACTTGGTGTCTGGTGCAATCTTTCTTATTTACAGAGGTAAATTTCTGCTTTTCTTAGCACAACAAATCACAAGCAAGCAAGTTTTCTGTTACTTACTATTTTCCTTCATCTACCATTCCATCTAAAACCTCTCACAAAGCAGTGTCTGAATTCACACTTCAAATAGTCATTTACAGAAGGTCATGAGCATTTGCTTCATTTTTCACTTCTGTGCCATTTTCTCATTTCTTCTAAGGTTTATTTCAGCAAAACCCCTCAGCTGCACGTATTCTGTTTTACTGAGTAACACACCTTTGTTGTGAGGCTTCTTAAATGAAAGACGGTGGCTAATTTCTCCAGCATCATTGGTTTTTTCCAGGAATTGGCTATCAGTGCTAGAGATTGTTAATTTCTAACCTGAGCTATCTGCTAACACTTGGCTGCAGATGGATTTCAGTCACCAATTATACGGATGATAAAGCACTGGCTTTTCACAACAAGGCTCTACAGTTGAGCCCTTTCCACATACAGCTGCTGGCCAACTGTTGGTTATTCAGAGCAAAAAACTCAGCTTTTCCACTGACAGCCAATCTGAGCCTCATCTATAAAGTCAAGCCCTGTAGATCAAGACAGACTCAGTTCTTGAGTTTTCTGTGCCAAATGAAGAATCAAAGAACACCAAATGAAGGGCAAAGAAGGCTGTACTTAGAAATGCAGTGCAGTGTACAATCACTTTCTGCTCTGCGAAAGAGATGAGCAGGAAAATAGATGGCACTGGTCTCTGCAGGCAAAGACAGTTCTCTTTTACATTGGTGTCATATGGAGAAATTGGATTACCACACAATAACAAGTCCAATAAACACAGATTATGAGTGTAGGATAGAAAGTAATTTACCACTAGATTAATCCCAGGCATTTCTCTTACCTAGGCTGCATTAAAACAGGAGCATTTATCTTTCCACCCTTTTGTTCAATGTGTTTCATATCCTCTGCTACCCCCAGAAAGAACAGTACATGATTTTTTTAAATAATATTCTATTTACTTTTTCTATTCTATTTTTTTATTATTTTCTATTTACACTCTACAAAATAACAGTTTCACGTGCAGCAGATGAAATCTATTTGGCAAGACAATACAACAGTATTTTTAAGTTGCTTGCATTTTCACTG